TGGTATTTCCACCTCGTCGGGATCCGCTCCTAGTTTCTTTGCCAGGTTACGCTGATTTACGTACTGGTAATAAATTATTTCTTGTTCTTGAATTTTCTCTTCAAATGACCCATCATCCGGGCTTTTTACTTCCTCATAATCCTAAAACATGCAATCATAGTAACGAATCATAGTAATCTGTCACTTAGAAAGATAAGATTCAAAATACGATTCGTTCTTAGCAAGGGAAAGGGGTTTATACGGATAACAACTTTTTATACAGTTAACTACTTCGACTTGATGTTCAGCATTGGACCTTTTTCCCGGGAATACTGTTACATACCTCTAGGATTTGGAAGGCCTTCCTGTCTTCACCTTTTGGTCCCATGATCTTGAAAAATTTCCCTTTCGATTTAAATCCCTTTACGCCCTTTGCAACCTATGAATTGAATAAAAACTAGCAAATTAACAAACATTCACATAAATATAGTTTCAATAATTTAATTATATTGTATATTAATACAATAATTATAGCACAAGTATGTGAACATTTCGTATTATGATTACACGCCTATAATAATTACTTTTCAGTTCTACTAAATGTTTAAAATATAAGTACGAGTCAGTATATGGTTAAATATAATGGATAAAACTAAATTACCAAATCATCTTTGCCTTGTGCGTGAAGAAACGAGCAAATTAGCATCAAAATGTTCAATGTGACCATGGCTCCTAATTCAAAAAGATAGGGAATTCACTCAATAAAACAAAGTTAGTTTGATAAAGACTTAATGATTACTAAGAAAACAAAGGGAAAATTCATTCATTCAACGAGCAAAATATCTAAAGAATAAAGAATTTTTGTTTGATAAGGTGCGCATAAAGCAAATAGGAAAATGGCAAAAAATAAAAGGTCGAAATGCTTAAGTTTAGTACAAAATTATGTAATATATTTCAAAAACATATTATTATAAATCCTGGAAGATTAACAAAGTAAAACTAAATATACTTACATACGGTTATGTTTCCCGCTATTTTTCTGCCATTTTCTTCTCCTCTCTGGTGAAGGTCTACAGCAGAGCTCCCTTTATAAGAACTCCTGTTGTAATACCCTAATACGGAGCTGGACATGACCCCCGGGTTTATGGGGACAGGACTCCCGTATACCTGTCATCAACCTATTTTACAATGGAAGAACCTCCATTTTATTGAAACGTATGCTGTATGAATCATTAATATCTTTAATAAACGAAGTTGTATTACTGATTTAATTAGATTTAGTCATATTAAGACATACATTCATTGTGGATAATTTCTACCATATTATCTCTCATGAATGCTTTAATTTGTTTCTATACGGTCAGTCACTCTAAAAGTGATGTAAGCTTAGCTAGTGACGAACTTTGTATTTTAAATCAATTATTCGTATTTACAGCTTTTATTTTAAAAAATCAATGCATGTGAAAGTTTTTGCAATAGATAAAAGCATCTTTTTCCTAGCTCCTCGATCATCTTAAACGACAGGGATTGAATCTAATCCCCCCTTCCCTTTCCAATTTATTCATGCAAAGTATTATTATTGATTCTGTATAAAATAGAACTTCATTCCTTTTTATACCTATTCACCAGGAGCCCTCTTAACCACAGTCACTTATGATGAATTATGTCATAAAAATAGCTTACACTGAAATGGTACCTTTGAGATCATAAGATATATGCACGTTCGTAAGATAATATACTATAAATAAATACAAATTAAAGAACCAGATCTGTCGATCTCGGAATTTGAAATATTTGACGTTATCTGATGCCAGCTCTGAAGGCACGCGTCTCGAGTTGTCTCTATTAACAGTGCTTTCCAGATATCAATGTTAGCTTGTCTTTCAGTTTTCAAAGATATCATTATCAATGTTCTGTAGTTTTGATGAGGGGAATTTTCATTGATTTGACAAGCTACATGTCAAAATTGTATTCGAAATCTTTAGTTTTTTGCGGATTCTTCTAAATTCAAAAAAAATATTAAATAAAACGATTACAGACTCGCTTTTGAAATTAAAATTAACAGATAAAGTGTCTTATGGTTATTATCATTTTTATTTTCTTTTGGAGAGTAGTTTTTAAATGTCAAAATAGGATAGGGGAAGGGACTCTTATTTATTCTGAAAATTTAAAAGATAACTGACACTTGTTTGCAAACCAAGAATTAACAGATTAAGAAACAACAAATTAAAATTTTTCAATTCACAAAAATGTCAAGAAATTTTTATTTGTTTCTAATATTGGAATAAAATCTCAATTATTGTCCTAAGGATTACATGTATATTGAAGTCGGTCTAAAATTCTTAAAAAATACTTGAGTAGTGTTTTGATAGAATATAACCAAAATACTATTTTAAGTAACAATAACATCGTTCAACGATTTTTAAAACAAAAAAAAAAGATATATATTATTTGAAATTTATTACTAGTATCTTAGTTTGGTCTAATTGTGAACCAAGTAATCAAAAAAAAAAAAAAACCTTGAACGAGAAGGTCACGGCATTTTCTATTTTTAGTAACAATGGCACCATTAAAATCAACAACTGGTGTGCAGAATTTCATTGTATGTATCTGAGTGCAGTTTACTCCAGTGAACCAACTTAAGTTTATATTTCTAAACTTATACTGAAAATGGGGGAAAACCTGTAGGAGTAGCATTTTGTTTACAGACAGACGGAGGACGACGGACACTTTACCATCGCATAGGGCCTTCTAATCTGACCAGCTGAGCGATTTAGAATTTCATAACTTTAATTTTTTCTACTTTCTAATGAGCCCAGAGTCCTGGATTTGTCGGATAATTATTTAGATTTTATATCAACATGGGTGAAACATCTATTTCATGAATTTTACCAGGCTTTCTTGTGGTTATTCATGAAAAACACCAAATCGTTTGCCAAAAAATTATATTTACATTTACTCTGTTTGACCCAAATAAAAAGCATGAAAAAATTACAAGTGATAAATAAACATAACACACAAGACCAAATCACCAAAGTCTGTCTGGCGTATGAATACAGGGAGTACGCCTTTACAGTTTAAGCAAAGCGAAAACCTGATGTCTTTTATACTATTCATTTGTTTTTCTTTGTTACAAAATATAGATTATCATTTTAGATTGAAAAATAAAGAAAACTTTGATTACCGTTATCTGTTTTATTGTTCACTATTTTCGTTTGCGGATTTTGGTTTGTGAGCAAACGAATTCTGGCGGGAAACTTGGGTTAAGCTGTTCTAAAAGCTGTTCTATCAATTGCAATTTACATGAAGGATAAGGCGGGGATTTTAATTAAAAAAATCAAATTTGCGGAAAATACATGGGCTAAAAATGTAAATATAAGCATTGATTTATCATTTTTTGAAAGATGCAGTCTCATAACTGCAAATGGTGTGTGCAAACAAATTTTCATAACGCGCTAACGCGTTACTCAATTTGTTTGCACACACCATTGCAGTTATGAGACTGCATCTTTCAAAAAATGATAATTCAATGGTTAAATATTTGTGCTCTCATTCTGTAAATCTTGTCCTTGATGAGGACATACTAAAGGACCTGGACTTCCATCATCTGTATTACGTAGAACGGATCAATGCCTTATTTCCAGAAACTTGAGGGTTATTAATTTGCAAAATCTGAGCCCGCGGATCGCTGTTTTATAAATCAGGGTATGTATAATATAATTGATGAATCAGCCCAAAAGCAATATATGGTCTAAGCCATGCTTAATAATGGCGAAATATTTTATATAAAGAGCACTCAGGCCACTTAATTATTTGATTATTTGCGGTAGGAGTTCGTAACAATAATTCAATTTATTGATGTACAGTGACTAAGTAAGGTAGTGATAATTTATTGACAAACTGCGGGTAACCTATATACATATGCACTTTCAAATCAGTAACGAAAAATAAAACGCCAGAAAGATAAGAAAACTAGAAAAAAAAAAGATATGACAGCTGATATACATGTAACTAAAAAAAAATCCCAGAAAACTAGGGGTTGAAGACAGAAGCAGGCTAACTCTAATGGGTCTGGAAAACAATGTGACTAAATATTGGTTGTGGACATTTTTGTAATACCAGAATATTCTCCTTAAATTCCTTCATTAATTTGGTTCTTTAACAGATAACATTTCCTGTCAGCTAGTCTTATCTTTCTTCAGCAAGATTCGTCTTGATTATTTCCAATTTCAGTGCTTATATACTGTTCTGGTCTGTGTACGGGTTCCTATCATAATTCGAAGACAGAAGGAGGAGGTTAAGTTTCCTCTAAAAATGGATGAAAGCAATTTGCAGTTACAAATACGTGTATATTATTTCCTTTTTACTGTAAATCAATTAAAATTATTTTAAGAATTGATTAACATTGCTATATTTATCTGGAATGCGGGAGAGTTTTGGTATTTTGCTTTATGTGAACTGATCTGATAAGTAACTCTAATGTTTCACTGAGCTAGGAATCGATTGGATATTATGTTGTTTTTCTGAAAGCTTATCACCATTGCGGCGTTACGCCTAGATGTGAAATGTATTAATTTGGACGGAGACTTTGTGACATTAACACAAACATCCGGGGAGATAACTAATCTCAAAGGTTGTGAGGACGTTACAGTAATTCAATACATTGTATCTCAATGGTAGTGAGTATGTCTCGTATACACAGTGTGAGTGGGAGAGGGATTAGGGTGTCGGCTTTTATAGACCCATAGACACCCCGAAACAGAACCTTTCCATTCAAATTACGATCCGCCCACATCAAAGGTAATACCTAACACAAAGTATACATTATATCAAAACAGCCTCTACAATATCGGTGTTGGATCGTTACATAGGCCGTACTGGAGGGAGCTGTGTGAGGACATGAACTTTTACTTTCCAAAGAGGAAAGATTCAAATAGCAGACACGATTTATACATGACTTACCAATTAATTAAAACAAAACCCTTTAAATTGTAACAAAATGTAGTCCGAAGAAACATGTTAAGGCTTGGGTTTATTGTTTAGGCTTCGATTTTTTTTTCAGCTGAACATCGTCTTTAAAAAAAAATGTTGCATCAGAATTATGAATTTCATTCAACAGTTTTCACTATAATATTTGACTATTATGTATCATAATAAAGAATAAATCAAACTATCATTGTTTAAGATATACATTCATATGTGAACTTTATCGTTTGAAGTGCTAAGAGAAGCCTTGTTATATCTGTAATGGAGAATGCGTCCCGGAGACATTTTCTCAGCATGCTGCGAAGTTTTCTTAATTTCAAAATATGAAGGATTGTTGTTTTCCGGATCTCCACGGATAATACTGTAACCCAACTTCCGGAACGCCTCAACCTGGTAAGCACTACAGTCAGACATAGAAACCGGATGTGTTCGATTGAAATTCGAGAAGTCGACAACAAGAGAATCACGTTCGTTGTATTTTTTGGCCATAGTATCGAAACGATGTCCCCATAAAATATCCCAAGCCATGTACGAGGTCTGTGTTTGTAAATTGTTACTGGTAGTGGACACTATTCCGTCCAGTATCACAACTAACTCAAAGTCCTCCCTCTGCAAATCCTCCCGAGACATTTTCCAGAATGGTGACGTGTTGTCAATGGTATGGACAAGCTGTGTAGGCCACGCCATGAAAATCTGCGAACTTCCGTCTTCTCCATTAAATTCCATCGGAAAACACTTAACAGGGTGACTACCTCCGTCCGTCGACCTCATCATCTTGAACAGATGCCCACGCACATGTGCACCTATGATGTGAGAACGACGCATGTCGCCAATTCGGATGACTAGTTTATATTTCCCATCCTCCTCTACAATGCAGGCCACAGAACTAAACATCAAGGTGCCTGATCTCTTTTTACCTCGCCGCACTTTCGCCACCACAAGTCCCGCGAGAGCAGCTTGTAGGCCAGCGCCTATAATGTTCTGTAGTAGTACGCCTATGACGGCGTAAGGACATTCCTCTGTAACATATCGGAAACCGTACCCTATTGTTGTCTGTGTTTCGATAGAAAAAAGGTAAGCTGTAGTAAAAGAATCAACATTCTCAAAGCAAGGCGTTTTGTCTGTTGCTTTCACGTCACTTATATCACCATGGAGTTTAGAAACCAACCAGTAAAACAGTGCAAAAAATAACCACGTGATCACAAATCCACTAACGAAAATTAACATATTCCATCTCCACTTCGTATCCACCATTGTGGTGAAGAAGTCATTCATCAGATGTATTCCCTTACCACGAATTCCGACAGTCTTTATATTGTATGTAGAATGTTTGGAAACTAATCGAGGTCGATGTCTGAAAGGTCGAAATTCCTCTGTTGTCGCCATTTTGAACTAGTTCCCTGAACTGAAAAGTAAAGATAGTACCAAATAAAATTTAAACATGTTAATGCGGGAATGTTTTGAAAATTTGTTGCCTTAGGCAACAATTTTATATTTTAAGTTGTAGTCTTCAGTTAAAATTAGCTAAATTATAGACAGTAAACAGTAATTAACCTTTAAATGGAAAACAAGTACCATCCAAACTGTGGGATTTTTTAAAACAACAAATATGAAGCCATTCAGAAACACCAAACTTTTGTGTGGCAACACTTTTTATGTAGCATGTTTAACTTGTTATGACGGTCTTCTACATCTCTTTAGAATCGATATCTGAAATTTTTGGAGTTAATTGTCGTAAATATGCAATCTAGTGAAGAATGAGCATTTGTTTGACATTTGTTGGTTTAAAAACCGCATTTATCCAAATAGTCTCTCGGCAAGAGTACACGTATCCTTGCTTTCTAACATGATAATACACCCACATTTGTTCATTATTCTTTACTTTCAAATGAATCTTTTTTTATTCAAAATTTCTAATAAGGCCCATTTTACAACTGTACGGAGTAAACAGATTAACAGCCCGGTATAAATATATCTCGTGATAACGTGATTATCGATAGTGTAAGCTATTCTAGATAACTATGAACATGGGAACGTAGAAACACAATATTTACAAAACCGTCCTGATTTCCAGATCGGGTTTAAAGATAATTTTGTTTCCAAAAGTTTCAATAACTGCATGTCCTGGTGCTAAGGTGCTAATCCTAAGGCCGTAATTCAAGAAGAAACATTTTTAAAAAAAAAACGAATCAAGATTGATCTCAAGTTAAATTTCAATAATGATACAACTATATGTAGGTACAACAGATGTTATAAAAGTAAATATTTGCAAATTCTTTGATTAACACAATTTGACTTCGTTTGCAAATAAGATCTGAGTGACATTCTTCATGAAAATGTTTAGGTCATTATTTTCATTGCGACTACAAAATTATATGACCGTTTTTCCGGTCATGACAATGGGTATAGGGCGGGGTGACTGGTCGACAGGGGATTCTTACCCCTTCGTGGCACCTGATCCCACCATTGATTTTTTTTTCAAATGTCCATGTTTGCTTTGCTCACAGTTTGAATTAAGTTAACTTTAAAAGTCATATTACTGCCCCGTATCTTTATATTTCATTTCCTTAAAAAATGGAAACCAAACTGATTTGGATCCTGTTAAACAAGTTTCATTCAATTTTGTTCGTGATATTTAGTACTTTATTTACTTTCTTACCTCACAAACTGTATATTTTAGAACTTACTTTGACCTATTTGAATCAAAACAAATTGAACTTGTATTTGCCTTCTACCCTTAAATACGACTCAAAGACGCAGCAATTTAACTCATATTCCATCTTTTTTCCTCGCATTGAAACTTTGTCAAACTTGTCAAAAGCTTGCGTCTTTTTAGAACTTGTTGGTACGTAGAGCATGCTCCTGCGTATCCATTCAACTGGGAAAGATCAACTCCATTTGCAATTTAAAGTGATGAATGTATACTGCTAGATAACTAAATCAAAATGTCAAGTGCATGTGCACACCAGGTATAACACAGAAATGCACAGTTAGCAGCTACTGGCTTGCGTACATCAGCAACATTACTTATCAACTACAAAAACCACGTGAAAAAGCATCAAAAAGCAAGAATCTATATATGTAGTAGCATATTCACGTATTTCTTCATGAATTTACTACACATTAGCAGCATTACACAAATATCTGCAAACCACATGTACCATCAGGTGTAAACAACCATTCATAGTGTATAATGTTTCCTATAGCACGTAAAACTATCAGTTGCGTATTGCGTACACCAAAAGCATGTACAGGATCAATGTAGTGCATGTACAAAATCATCAACTGTTCAATGTAGCGTATGTACACAACCATTAGTTGTTCAATGCAGTGCAAGTAAAGAACCATTAATTGTTTAATGTATTGCATGTTCACAACCATTCACTGTTCAATGTATTGCATGTATACAACTATTAGTTGTTCAATGTATTGCATGTACACTCCCATTACATTAAATGTTCAATGCAGTGCATAAAAAGAACCATTAATTGTTCAATGTATTGAATGTACACCGCCATTCAGTGTTCAATATGTTGCATGTACACAACCATTACGTATACAATGTAGTATATGCAACCCTTAACTGTTCAATGTAGTACATGAAAATGTACACAACCATTAACTGTTCAACGTAGTGCATGCACGCAACCATTAACTGTTCAACGTAGTGCATGCACACAACCATTAACTGTTCAATGCAGTGTATGTAGACAATCATTAACTGTTCCATGTATTCCATGTACACAACCCTTAACTGTTCAATGTTGTGCAAGTACAGAACCATTAACTGTTCAATGCAGTGCATATGTACACAACCATTGACGTTCAATGTATAGGGCATGTACAAAACCATTAACTGTTCAATGTAGTATATGTACAAAACCATTAATTATTCAATGCAGTGCATGTACACAACCATTAATTGCTCAATGCAGTACATGCACACAACCGTTTACTGTTAATGCAGTACATGTACACAACCATTATTTGTCCAACAGTGCATGTACACGACCATTAACGTTCAATGTATAGTGCATGTACACAGTCATTAACTGTTCAATGCAGTGCATGTACACAACCATCAACTGTTCAATGTAGTGCATGTACACAACCATTAATTGTTTAATGCAGTGCATGTACACAACCATTAACTATTCAATGCAGTGCTTGTTCACAACCATTAACGTTCAATGTATAGTGCATGTACACAGCCATGAACTATTAGCTGTTCAATGCAGTGCATGTACATTTGTACACAATCATTAACTATTCATTGTATAGTGCATGTACACAACCCTTAAGTGTTCAATGTAGTTCATATAAACAACAATAAATTATTCAATGTAGTGCATATATTATGGTGTCCCGATAGGGCCATCTAATGCAAGCGCATTGTCACTGATGACAATGTGCTAGCGCGTTAACGACAACGCGCTAGTGCGTTAATGACAACGAGGTGTGTGTAAGCGCGAAGTCGTGTTGTGAACAACGCGCTAGCGCGTTGTCGTTAACGCGCTAGCACATTGTCTTCTGTGACAATGCGCTTGCGTGTTGTTAGAAACAATACGCGAGCGCACTAATGCTAGCGCGTTCTTAGAAACAACATGCAAGCGACTTAATGACAACGCGCTAGCACGTTGTTCACAACACGACTTCACGCTAACACACAACTCGTTGTCATGAACGCGCTAGCGCGTTGTCATTAACGCGCTAGCGCATTATCATTATCGCGCTTGCGCGTTGTCATTAACGCCCTTGAGTGTTGTTTCTAATGAGCTAATACACTTTTGCAATGGCCCTATCGGGACGCCATAATGTATACATCCATCAACTGTTCAATATACTGCATGCACACTGCATACAGTGAAACTATATTCATTACAGGTGCCTTTAAACGTTCTAAATACAGCAAAGAAATAAAAAAAAAAACAAGATTTCTTTGATTGAGGACAATTTTATCTTTATTCCATCTCTTGAGTTCTAATTGTCTCTGATACTTCACAAGATTGGCAAAGCAAATTGAACGATCATGTGGCGTTCTATTTTCAGCATCACAGGAAATCAATTGGCTTCAACATCTCTATAGATTGATAAGGATAAACGTTTGTTTATAAATTCAGGAAAAGTATTTACACTAAAGCCTCAGATCTAAGAATTCCTCTTTGCTGTATTTGCTGGAGAAACTCAGCAGAAATGACACCTTTTAAAAAAATATTATGGGTTTGTAATCTTAAAACAGGCAAACGCCATTATATAATAAATCTGGGTCTTGCAATATTTTGATTTGTTTAAGAAAGAAGAAAACAAAAGGTCAATAATGAACTGTAGATTTATTACGGCTGGGAATTTGATATCACTCCTGTTTAAATATACATGTTATTAATTTCTCAGCTTAAACAGTTCTCAACTTGTTAGATAGTTACGCGAGGTGATGAACAGGATTCGTATACCGCTAAATATTATGGTTCGATTATTATTTAAGGATCATGCAGTACATCGATTGATATTTTATATCACAAAAAAGTTTATTACAACCTGGATACTTGATATTTAATCTACTGTTCAATGTCGATCTCACCTGTGCCGATGTTTACTGACAGTTACCTGTAGAAGCTAGGGGGAGCTAGCTACTTCCCTCTTAAGTCATTGTCCGCTATGAAGAGACAGAAAACTTACAGAATAACTGATGGTGTTTGAGAGGAGACCATTTCCTCCTCGCGATGAGCGATTGGGACGCTATACAGGGGATAAACTGGTCCCGTACACCGGCCATAAACATCCATATTTTGTGTCAAGGTCAATAAACTTGTCAACAAAGAATTGATTTAAATCTGATTTAAATGACATTCTAGTTCAGTGACGTTTCTGAATTTTATATACCCTCCGGGGATTGCCAATGATTGTTGTTGTTTAGCTTTTCCCTTCTGTTTCATATCAATATAAACAATTAATACTATAATACGTGTATATAAAACATGTAAAAGTTAAAGTCTCCAATTAATTTGATGATTCCAGCTGTGAGACACCCATGTCCATTAAATATCGGCATCAACTTTTATTTTTTGCTACAGGAAACAATTACAATGATCTGCAAATCCGCAAAAGAGAAAAAAGTATGATAAAAGTTATTAAAAACTAACGAATTCTACAAATTTCGCTCTCGATTTCACACTACTTACCTGGTCAGGTGTAATCCTGATTGAGCTGCGTTATACAGGTCAGCGGTATTTACATGACAAATATACAGACCCCATCCGCTTTCATCGCACCTTTTTATTACGGAGTAAATTTCCCTCGGGAGTCTTCTCCCTTTGAAAGTGCGAAGCCAGCTCTCCCCTTTGTCATGCAACTTCGTGTGTCGCTCGGTAATTTTTTTCCCACTGATTTTTCTTATTTGGTGATTCTCTCTCTTATTTAATTCCGTGGCCTTTTATCCGATATCTGGTTTACATAGGAAACAGTTCCCCCACAACATTTCCTAATTCTCTGTAACAGCTGCACACTCAAGAACTCAAAATGTCCTCCACGAGACAATTCCCCCAAAGATGAGAGATGTTGTCCGCATTAATGCCGCCCAAGTGGTGCATCCAGGCTAACTTATCAAATTCGTAAGACTCAAGGAGATAGACCTTCTATCAATCAGCCAATTTCCCCTCTAGTTAGCTAGCCTAATTGAACAGCGTAAGGAGCTATCGAAAGTTGGAGCAAGTTGTGAAAGCTGGCAAATTATCACCAAATGTTCAAAAATGTTATCTTCTCCTGAGCTAAGTAGATTTTTAAAAAATATTCTCCCTTTTGATGATTTATTTATAATTGATGATTTATGAACTTAATGAACTTGTATATTGAAGATTTTATATTATTCCATTGATTATTCTTCACTGTACTTTTCCTCGACGTTATCGATATTTATATTGAATTTTGTTTACTTTATTGTGTATAATTTTACAATTATTTAAGAAATTGCAATTTCAAAAGCGTTATGAAAGTAAGCCATAAAATGAAAATAGCACGGCGTCATAGAACTCCTAGCTTGCAGTGTCATAACCACTTGTTTGTATTTTTCCTGTTTTCAATAGGTACAAATTTTACAAGAGATTCTGGTAAATTCAATTAATTAATATAACCTGACACAAGAACTATGGTAAGTTATATATTCAACATGTTAAGAATGAATGCATAAAACAACCTTGTTTGTATTTAAATTAAAGTATATTTTTTTCCTCTATAGATACCGACATTGTAGCCATTTATGGTGAGACCTCGTTAAGTTTCAAACCCTTCCGTTCCTCTTGTATACTAATTTTTATAATAAATTTTGCTCAAATGACTTGAATAATTCTCTTTTAAACAACACAATGCTTCTACCTTTCTTTCGGGGTTTTTTTTTTCCTCGTAGTGGACCACTTTGTCACTGGGGAAAGTCAAAGGCTTGTTTTGATAATTTCAAGGAGGAATACCAGAGTTATTCCCCTTTGCCAAAGTCTGATATATAAACATAGTATTGGTAAATTTTGGATGATAAAGACATCGATGTCCGGAATTCACGTGTGGGAAATTTCCCCGGACTGTATATTAGTGTCTCTGTCCTTTAAGAATAGCAGTTATGTTCGTATTTGAAACAATTCGGGCTGAGATCTATTTCCAGGAAATAACTGGAGTCCTAAGAAATTTATCAAGTTTGAAAACAGAGAACAGGAATCATATCACAAGATTAATTGCTCATTTATACATATGTAGGTACTGAATATAATAACTGAATTTTTTTTTCATTTATAGCATAAAGTACAATTAATTTCTCATACCCATCGTCATTTATTCACCTTTTCATTTATATATATCTAATTATCCATAAATATTTTAAAGTTAGCTTCTTGGCTTAAATTAATCCTATTTAAAGACGGAGGGTCGAGAGAAATTCAGCAAGAAATATAGAAATAATACCAAACTCTTAGAAATATTGAAGATACCAACATGTTTTAAAATTACAAATCAAAGCCAAGTGCATTCACTCACAAATACATCTTTTTAACTTAATAAATTTTATTTCATATCTTTATCATATCAAATCCATTCTTCACAAACTTTAACAAAAATTGTAACTAGACAGGAATGAAGTGATAATATGCTAGACATATTGCATAAATAAAACACAGTAACACTTGGCTAACAGGAAGACATGTCAGACACTGTTTTGTTGCGACAGCAATACGACGCGATGATTGGTCGTACATCTCGTGCTAGCTCGATACATCATTAGATCTTATTTTGAGGTAATTCTTTAAGTCCAGTCAAAGCTCGATTTCCGTTCCGCTAGAGGAAGGACACACAAAAATCTATTTTTTGACAGAGACGTTCGAAGCGTCCTTCAGTAATCTGTCGACTCTCTGCGGGAATTGCCTTATAAGCACTGAACATGTCAAACCATGGCCGCAAGATAATGTAACGAGTAACGTTAATCCTAACGACCTTAGTACACGTCGGGTTGTGTACTGGGACTTCTTTTCTGTTCAACAAATATAATTACCCTGTCAGATTCACATGTATTGCTCATTAATGTACTCAAACCTTCGTTTCCCTCGTGGGGTGTTCTGCATGATCGGACACAGTGTACTGATGTCAAAATAACTACAGTGGTATTTCCCATCGTCATCTATACCAGGGTTTATACTCAGAAATTTATACCCCATAACGATTTCATCCGGAAGGTACGAGGTTCGAACTTGGATCGCCCTACTGGTAGATTCTATCACGCCCTCTATCGTCACAATTAACTCCGAGAAGTCTCCAAACTGATGGAGATTTTCGGGTGGCCATAGTGGACTGTTCTCGTCAATAGTGTGATACATAACTGCTGGCCATAACAAAGTCATCACATCCCCACCTCCCTCTGCTTTGAAGTCGATAGGTACCTGGTCCATAAATTCCTGATTAGTGTTGGGTATCGGGGTCCTTTTGATCAGTTTTCCTTTACCTATCACGTCCACGAGATGAGAGCGCCGGAAGTCACCCACTCGGACCATAAGCTGCCATTTACCGTCAACAATGCCTATACAGGCCTGCTGACTGAAGATGATAGCATCCCCACGCTTCTTCGACCTCTGAAGCTTTGTGAAAACGAGGGCGGCAGTCAAACACTGTACTCCGATCCCGATGATAAACTGAAGAAATACAAGGAACACGACATGAGGGCAATGAGGGGTTGAGGCTCGAGAACCGTACCCGATTGTATGCTGAGTCTCCACAGAAAACAGGAAGGCCGTGGTAAAGTCGTACACATTAGTAATACAGGGATCGTGGTCGTACGAATCTACAGTGTCACCATTAATGTAACTAAAGAGAAGATAAAAACAGGCGAATATAGTCCAGGTCAGAATAAAACCCATCACAAAAATCAACAAAATCCACCGCCATTTGGCGTCCAGTAACGTCGTAAAGGCGTCCCTGATATAGTTTTTGAGAATTCCCGTGTCCACGTTTTCCAGTCGGACTCGGTAGTTCCCATTTTTGCTGACCAGTCGCCATTTGTCGTCTCCCATTTCCGATTTCGAGTCCGTGCGGGACCGGACACAACTGTCCATTCTGGTCTTCAGTGTTTTCATCACCGGTGTGTGTGTGGGTCGTACTGACAAGATTGTGTCTGGAGGGAAATTCTTCGTGTGTATATATTTATACTCCGGCTATGACATCATTCACTTTTACCTTGTCACCTGAGTGCGTCTCTTGTCGCGCGTTTTAAGCAATATTTCTCGTCTTCTGTGGGTTATATTAACCTCATGCAAGTCAAAAAGTTAAAACATGAATTATAAATGAGTCCTTGCAAAAAAAATGTTGAAATTCTGTTCCAGTTGTTTTAAATGAATTAGCGACCCACCATTCATATTCTTAACCCAGGAACTTAATTTAGTCTTCTTGAAGCAGAATGATGAATGTCAAATGCTTGCCACACCACATTTGAGATTAAGGGCAACTTATAATAATTAGGTTACTGTCACTGTATTAGAGAGAAAATGATGTCCAGATATGTTGTTATTACAGTTTTATGCACTAGTAGATGTCATACACAGTATGCAAGCCTAAAATTATCTGTAATAACTTTGTGTCATTGAATTTTTTACAGATGATATTCTTTGAGTAAATAAAATGGCACTATTTAACTATTCATATAACTCCCATGTGTTATTAGGGCTAAATTCTTTTTATATAAAATTTACTTAAAGTGTATTATTTTGCAAATATTAACTTACATTTCGCCCAAAATAATTTGAAATATATCTACTTACTATATTATATATACATCCATTGAAAAAACACATTAATTTTGAGTAAGAAATATAATTATCGAGTATTTTCAAGCTTTGTTTGAAAATATTGGGTTCTGTCTGATTTATTTGCCATTGTTTGATAACTGAAAACATTTTCAATGTAAAGATGTATTGACGAGATTGAGTAACTATAATTGTCTTTTTGATATTTCTGTGTCCTTCAAGATGGCCGATAATCACGAGCTAATAATGGAAAAGTACGGGGGAAATCCATGCATAATTTATACGGAGTAATAAGGAATTGCGGGGACAATACGTCTTTATAGATTTCACCAAAACTGTTCTCATAAAACGACAGGTAAAATCAAAACATAAAGAGGATTCTGTCCCAGAAGAATTCCTTGGAATAAGGTCCATGAACTTCGTTCTGGTTTACGACTTTGTCATTCTTCACACTTGATTGGGCAAAGGAAGTACCACAGTCAGATTTGTCGACAGGACAAACCAGAAAATGAAATGAATATCATATTGAGTATACTTGTATGTTGCTTTATTTTCAATCCATACCCATCTTTCTCCATACATGTATGTCATATCTTCCTCCATATATCAAAGTAACTTTTTTTCCAAGTTTGCAAATTGTCGTCAATTTTGAATTAAACACGCATGTAATTATTAATTTTTCAGCATTTAATTTTCAAAATGTTCCCGAATTTTTTTTTTATCATATCAAATACAGCTTTTGTGTATGTACACTTATATTGTTCAGAAATTAAAATACATGTAGATAAATTGTAAAGAAAGTTTTATTGACAGACAATTCACATACTTCATGGCCAATCAAATAGTATGTGGTGAGAAAGTAAGTTTACTGAACCATAAACAAATTAGTCATTTTGAATTGCTTAATAGAAAACATGATAAAAAAAGTCTTTTGATGTTTGTTCGACAAAAGTTGAAAACAAGAAACAAAAAGATAAAGTTTCATAAAATTTTGCTATATTTATCTCTCCTCTTTGTTTCATTTGGAAATAGGGCCTACAAATTATACAATAATGCAAAAATGATGAGCATTAATTTCTCCTTGCAAATATTCATCTTTTCTAAAAATAACTGATTTTTTAATAAGCAATCCTTTTAAAATGCAAATTATTTCTGACTTCTTTTTTTTTTAATTGAGTTCACATTCCATGTCACTGTATTAGAATTCTACTCTCTTCATTTTCACAGGTTTACATTTTCAAAAAATGAATTTTAAAGCATCTTTTGGCATCTTGACCGTTCGCGTATTCGATGGCGGAAACAAGACTGAATGGTATGTTTATTGTCACAAAATGAAATAAATGGAGATAAATCCATCATTTTCTACTAAAAGACACATCACTTTATGCAAATGAACTTAAGCACCACCCACTTAATTGCTAGCACGACATGTGCAGTAATGCGTGACCAACAACATTTTACGTGAAAGGTAATATACCGTATTACAACGACACGCGCTGATTTCTCTGTGTTCACCGTGCACTTATCCACGTTACCCCCGGGAATCAGCTGACTGTCTGTTCTCTTACAAACTGTGGACCCAGGAAAAAGGACGGTCAATTTTTCACGGTGGTGAAATAAAATGTCAGAAACAACAGTCACGGGCATAGACACGGAGAAACCTAAAGCCAAAGTCAGATTCGCCAAAACAACAAAAGTTAATTTAACACGGACCCTACCGAGGCTGATTGAAAAGAATGGGACATGTAACATCGAGTCAAGGACAATTCGAGGAAAGAACATTCGATTCATGAGCGACATTTTCACTACACTTCTGGAAACACAATGGAGGTTGTTTTTGTCTCTGTTCGCGCTTTCTGTTGTTTTCAGTTGGGTGTTGTTTGCTACAGTGTATTTTTTGATCGCGTATTCTAATGGTGATTTTGAGGAAAAGAGCTATGAGGAGGACAGACTATACTGTGTAGAAAATACACCGGACTTTATTTCTATGATTTTGTTTTCTATGGAGACGCAGACGACAATCGGATACGGATCCCGTTACGTCACTGACCATTGTCCCGGGGCCGTGTTCATGGTCACAGTTCAGTCTATTCTCGGAGCTCTGTTACAAGCTCTTCTGACGGGAATTGTAATAGCCAAAGTACAGAAGCCCAAGAAGAGAGGAAACACAATTCTTTTCAGTAAGAGTGTCTGTATTTGCCAAGATGGAGAAGACAGGTATATGTACATACGTGTTGGGGACTTACAGAAATCTGATATGATTGACATGCATGCACGTGCTGTGTGTGTGAAAGATAAAATTACAAGTGACGGAGAATATATTTCTCATTTTCGTCATGATCTGGATCTTTGTAATGAGCTGAACTCCAGTAGGATTTCGCTGCGGTGGCCCATTGTTCTACAACACAAGATAACACCGACTAGTCCATTCTGGGCCTTGGACGAAGGAGAAATCAAATCAGCAGATTTTGAGCTTTTGGTATTTTTACAGGGAGTTATTGAAAGTACTGGAATGTCATTTCAGGCGCGGACCTCATATCTCTCGCATGAAATTCTGTGGCAGCATAAATTCAAGCCAATGTCTACAGTGTGTACTACCTCTGGTGTCTTCCAGTTTGACTACAAGCAGTTCAACGAGACGATCAGCTTCCCATCCATGACCCCCAGCCCAGGCAAGAAGTTTTTCCGAGCCAAGTACGTTCGATCCTCCTCCCCCGGGGACCACTCTTTAGGGGAAGAATCTGGGATAGCAGATATGGACGACGGCCTGTCCACAAACTCTGATAGTAGCACAGACATTTCAAATGATAGTACAAAGTACGGGAAGGTGTCGCTCAATATGTATGACTAATTAATTGTACGTTTTATGAAGACATTTTATGTTGTGTTGTGTATAACTGTTCCTTGTGCCTGTATAGATTTGTTATGTGAGGGTATGGACGTAGTAGTGCTGTGACTTTGCTATTAAATGGCGTTATACACATTATTTTTATATAAATTTACCAAGTTTTTGATCTTATATAGTGAAATAAAATATTTCCAATCATTATTATTTGTAACTTTATCTTTCATGCAATGTAATGGACCAGGAAGAATATGACAACTCAGTAGTGATTAGAATGGTTCTAATTCTTTTGGGAATAGGGCGTAGTACTGCATTACCTTAAACAACACGGAATTTGTCGTCAGACTTAGTCATCAATACAGCTTGTTCTTTAACATGTCAACACCTGGTTAACTTGTCCGTGTTATGTAATGCTGACACATTGATGTGTAATCTTCCGCAACTGATCTGCTAATCAGGCGAGGGTTGGTGAGAAACTGTCATTCACCGAGTGGATTACTTACTACATGGTCACATTGCCAGACGTCTGACCAATAGGAGCTAGCTTCTTGTTGTAAAAACGAAATTCTGCTGAATGAAATACCAGAGCTGGAGTAAGAGAATTACGCGTTAAAACTACAATATTGCGTCACGTCGACGTCATTTGGAATTCTTAAACCGGTTATTACTGGCAAAGGGCATGTTTCTGACAGACACAGACTGGTACCATCTTCTTTAGGCAGATTTCTACACTCCAATATATAATCAGTAGTAACCGTTAGCTTCTTGGGGACAGAAATAACTGAGTATTATTCTAGTATGACGTATGATGCACTATTTTGGGTGAGGTATGCTGTGCCCTTTTTATAATAAATCCTCAAACCTTTACACTTAGTAAGGATGATGCAGAGAAATGACAAAACATTCGATTTCTATCCTTAGAATTTTTTTCCATGATATTTAAGGTTCAGATCAATTTTTACTTTTCCCTCTTAAACACATTTACATAACAAAATTTCCCTTGCAACCATTATTGCATATCAGTATAGTTATATCCGAATACAGCCTTTTGGATATATAAGCGATGTCACATGTTTCTTACATATACTCAATAGATTTTACACTGCTTTCACCTCATAATTTTGCAACCTCTAGATTCTTTCTGCCAAGCGAAAAAACCACCCTGAATGTCCATGACAGCCCCATCTCATAAAGATTAAAATAATTGTAGGCAGACCTCTTATCTGCAGAAGCTTATCTTTATTGACTATTAAAAATATGACACGGAAGGGACCGTCTTTTCTGTCTATCCAATACTTCATAAATAGGAAGCGACTCCATTTTTTTTTTTTTTGTTGAAATTTTAACATCCGGCGATGTTAATACATTTTCAATGTTTTCCGAACTTGTCGGAAAAGACCGGGAAGATGCGACTACACTTGACTTAGATTACTTCGTGTACCTGATCGGTACGGTACCGGTTGAGATAAAAGCGGATGTGACGTGTCGACAGGAGGTGCACGTGCTAACTTCTTCTAGCCTCTGATCACAACTATTGGTTTTAGCGTTCCCCTCTGTTGTTTTGTATTGCTTGCGGAATTCAGTTTGTTATCTTTATTTTTCAAGCATACATGTACATGAAATAAATTATGGAGAAAACGAACAGTATTCATGCTCAAAAGACCATAAAACAATACAAAACAGGAGTAGAGCAATCATATGGACATCCAAAA